TGTAACATAATCCAAATATGCCTGGTAACACAACGATCCTGAATGCTTAATGCAGGACTTACCGGCCACAACAAAAAACCCTCTCGGCCGGAATGTAAACGTTGGTAGTATACATTTTGTGCATTGATATTTGATGTCGTTGTAAGGTAGAAAGTGGTAATGGGATGCCCGTCTGTGATAAAATGATATTGTGCAAAATTCTAGGAAATTGGAAGTAACCAACCCCACCGTGATATTCAGCTTAGTTTAAACCAAAACCCTTACACTAACGGTGACACCTATTTTCGTAGACCATCAGTCAAATATATCGCGACAGTATCATGCACAAGATATTGTTCTTGTACTAAATCGATGACTTATAACTTATGCATTATAATTTAGTATTCCACGAAAGGTCACTTTTTCCGTTCTGAGGAACATTCTAAATTCCTAAATAATAAACTATACCGGCAACGGCACTACTGCTTAGGGATAATATTAGAGTAAATTTAAATATAAAGATAGGCATTAGCAGTGAAGTTAAAAAATGTTAACTATAAACCTATCCAAATAATGCAAACAGCAAAATACAATAATACGATTAAAAACTTGCTTTCAAAACGCACGGATGTCCCTTTAAAAGAAAGAACATTTGCAATACATTCACTTAGAATACGCTACCATTTAAATAAAACAATTTTTTACGGTTATCAAAATAAATCCTAATATATAATTATTAGGACATAAATCGTAAATGAAAAAATTGAATCTAGAATTGTAAATTGACAATAGAACAAGCTCGGCTCATGAGATTTATGGCATACCGATGAATATTATTAATTTCACCCTGCACTTGGACGGTCAGAGGAGTTCGAAACGTTTTTGGCAAATTACAAACACTTACGAAGGGACAATTCCTGCTCAAAGAATTAATTGGTGTTTTCGCTGACTCACGATTTCATGGAAGATGTACGCATAGGTGTCCTGACCGGATATTTAACGATTAGTTTTGACTCTCATATTCAGTTGCTCCCCGAGGGTTCACTAAATCTTGCTGGGATATATGCATGCTGCCTAACCAACCCTTTTTATATACATGTACGGACGAGCCATGTAACACGGAGTCTTGCGCACACACAGGCAACACAATTGTATGGCTAAGCCAACCAAAAAACGGTGTATTAATTCTACTGCATAATTATTATAATATATATCATGCATGCGTAATTTCACAAACATCGCCAGAAAATATAAATTAATCACGTGGGCATTTTGAGTGAATGTTGCCTATGAGAACAGGACAAAGTACTATTGCTTAAAATGACAGAAACAAATTAAAAAGGCTAATGCAGTAACACTATTAATTATGCAGAACGCCAATTTATGAAATACTAAGCGTCGTTTAGATCGATCTGCGTTGTTTCGCAGTGCGCCAAATCGTTCGGTGTGTAGGTCGGGTTTACTTGAATGTAATACGCAGTACG